GCCGCGCGAGCCGCTGTCATGGTAACGCGCCGGCTCCCGCCCCGAGGGCGCGAACCCGCATTGTGAGCGTCCCCAGCAAAGCCCTGCACGGCGCCGGGGCGCGTCCTGGAGCGGGTGACCGAGGGGGAAGTCGGGCGCGGCGCAACTGGCCTCGATTCAGCTAGACGTCCCCCAGGTTTCTTCTACCCGCTGGTTTTCCAGACGCGTCGGACCCAGGTCCTTTGAGCCTGGAGTCTGCACATCGGGAAGCCAGCGTTCGTCTTCTAACTTCCCTGCCAGCCTGGCGTCTTCAGGTGCAGAGGCTGAGGGAAGAGAAGTGGGAGCGCAACCCCTGGAACCCGAGGTCAGCCTAGTCCCGAGAGCTCGCCCCTCTAGGAGGCGTCAGGTCTCATCTGCCCAGTCCTGCAGCTATGTGGGAGGTGGGGGGCAGGTTGAGGAGCGGGACTTTGAGGGAGCCCGTGGTGAATAAATTGCCTTCTACGACCCTCGCCTTGTAGACTTGGGCAGCCTCACGAGGGAATTCAGGGCGATGAAAGGACGCCCAAAGTGAACACCTGCTGCTGCTGCTGCAAACCGAGGCGCTGCGAGCTCACATCTTGGTGAGAGGAGGGACTTAGCCCCCCTGGCTCGAATGGGGAGTCTTACATGTAATATTCCAAGTGATGCAACTTGATAGTGCAAAAGAATTGAACATTCAGGGAGCAAAACAGCCATCTGGGACCGAGAGCCCGAGTCTCGAGCCTCCACCCGGCCTTTTAAAGCCCCTGACCGCAGACGGCGTCACAGGAAAAGTTTCCGCGGCGGTTTCGCATAGACGCCAACACCGCGCTCTCTGAGGCTCGGGGGGGGGGAGGGGGGGCGCTCGCGAGGGGACGCGGGAGCCCCGCCCCCGAGGGAACCGGAAACGCACGGCCCGGCCGGAAGTGGCGCTGACACTACACGTGAGCGGAGCCATGGCGGCCCACCGCTCCGGGCCGCTAAAGCAGCAGAATAAAGCTCATAAAGGCGGGAGGCATCGGGGTCGAGGATCCGCGCAGCGTGACGGCAAGGGTGAGGAGAGAGGGGAGGGAGGGGAGGGAAAAGGCTGTTTAGTAGGGTTAGCTCTTTCTCCCCATGCCCAGGCTTGAGCTCAAACCGCCGGCCTGTGCCCAGGTGGGCGGGGAGGCGGTCTCCCTTCTTGACCTCCAAGTGCCAAGCCCAGGAGCCTTTTTCTGATTTAATTCTAGGACGCCTAGCACCGAAAACCCTCAGCAAGAAAGTGAGAAAAGAGCTCAGCAGGGTAGACCAGAGGCATCGAGCCAGCCAGCTCCGAAAGCAGAAGAAGGAGGCGGTGAGTGGACCGGGTTGGGGAATGCTGTGGCCTCACAATCCTTCTAGCTGGGAAAAGCAGTAAAGTAGAAAATATATCCCAGGGAAGCGACCAGTATGGATACTAACCCCAGAACACGTCAGGTGGCATGCACCTGACGTAAAAGTAAAGAGCATTCTTTACTTTGGTTCAAGTTCCTGCCGTCTTTCCCGGCATACATACTGTTTTTTACAAAAAAAGATGCTGATTGTGTGAGACATCTGTTCTGCTGGAAATAGAGTGAAGTCCTGAAACATTTAGATGTTCCCTAATCCTTCCTATTTTCAGGTTCTGGCAGAGAAGAGACAGCTGGGCAGCAAGGATGGCCCTCCTCATCAGGTACTGGTGGTACCTTTGCACAACAGGATTTCCTTGTCAGAGGCCTTTCGGCTGCTTCAAGACAGAGACACTGGAACAGTACATGTGAATGACTGGGGAAGCACCCCTAGCTTTATGCTGTTATGTCCCGTCCTGAAACATCGGTGGTTTTTCACATCAGCAAGACCAGGTCAGAGTTTACAAGATTATTTCCTCTCATTGTTTTGAGTAGAATTTTTTTTTAAGTGTAGTATGCTGATTTGAATATGTTCTTCCTTCTGATTTTGTCTTCTCCAGGCGATCTTCACACTGTGTTAGATATGGCCAAGGTGGCTGATACCATCCTCTTCCTTCTGGATCCGCTAGAAGGCTGGGACAGCACTGGAGATTACTGCCTCTCCTGCCTCTTTGCTCAGGGCCTTCCCACTTATAGTGAGTTGGGGTTATTGGAGGTCAGGGAAGGAAGTGAATCAGCATTTATTGTGCACCTATAATTTGCCAAACTCTGTCTAGTACTTCATGTGGGAATACAACAGTTTGTACTAGCTCGTATTCAGCTGATGGTGGATTATGCACCCATGGTCATTATTAATGTGGGCTGTTATTTACTATTTTTCTATTGAGGTGCTTTTCTACTTTGGGATCCCCTTTGCCTAGGGGAAGACAACGACTATGAAATTTGTTTTTACTGTGAATTATTTTAGGATAGCTGATGGGTTTCCCAGTGATTTCTCAGCCTACAACTGAACTGTTGACACCTGCTTATGAATTGCAGGGTCAATTTTCAAGGGACCTGAAGCAACAGGGCACAAAAATTCTTTTTCTTTTGTTCTCAGCTCTAGCTGTCCAAGGGGTTTCTGGCCTCCCACCAAAGAAACAAATAGATGTCAGAAAGAAGCTAAGTAAAGCAGTGGAAAAGCGCTTTCCTGATGACAAGCTCCTCCTGTTAGATACACAACAGGAGGCAGGGCTGTTACTCAGGCAGTTGGCTAACCAAAAGCAGCGACATATTGCCTTTCGAGATCGGCGCGCCTACCTGTTTACCCATGCTGCTGACTTTGTGCCTAGTGAAGAAAGTGATTTGGTTGGCACCTTGAAAATCTCAGGCTATGTTCGTGGGCAGGCTCTAAATGTAAATAGCTTGCTGCATATCGTTGGCCATGGTGATTTCCAGATGAAGCAGATAGATGCTCCGATGGACCCGTTCCCTTTAAATCCTAGAGTGATCAAATCCAAAAAGGACCGAGGCATGGCAATGGAGGTAAGACTAACGTTCTTGGAGACGGTGTTGTAGATTCACATGTAAGCTGCTACAGGATGGAAATTAACCTCAGAGAAACGAGTTTGCACACCTGAATAACTACAAGTCCTTAGGGGTGAGGTTAGTTCAAAGTAAGACTCAAATATGTCGATCTATCGCTTATTTGTTCCACACTTTGGAGGTACCTGGCACAGTCTTTGGCTCTTGATTTTACGTAAGATTCCCCTCCCCCCCCCACCCACACACTGTAAATCAGGAAAAAATAGCAAATCATCATGAAAAGAAAAGATTAAGAAAGTGTAGTTGAAGTACAGACCTGTTAGGGAAGATGAGAAGGGTGTGGTTGTAATTTATTGGTTGAAATGAGATGCAAGAATATCCTAGAAGGTGGAAACAAGATGAACTTGAGGCAGAGGGATAGATCAAGGAGTTTCTTTATAGAAGTGAACTTGATGGGGGTAAGGCATGTAAAGGAGAGGTCTCCATCCAAGCAGAGATATAGACTTAAAATGCTAGGAAATAGAAGCATCTGGAAAATCTTGACTGTTTATTCATTCAGCTTCTATTTGAGAACTATATTGTTTCCTTAATTTTCTAGCTTACTATATTAGATTTAGTAGATTCTTAGTGGATGGACTTGACAGACCATTTGCTTTTGGTTTTTCAGATCTGTGCTGATGCTGTAGGCGATATGGAGGAAGACATTAAGGTTCTGATGAAGGCAGATCCTGATAGACAAGAATCTTTGCAAACAGAAGTTATCCCAGATCCAATGGAGGGAGAGCAGACCTGGCCCACTGAGGAGGAGCTGAATGAAGCAAACGGTTGGTATTGATAGACCTGTAATCCATCTGATCTGGCATTATGGATTTTGTCTAGCTGCTCACAGGACCCTATAGGGCAGAGTGGAATGAGGGTGCATTTGCAGAGTCTGTCTTATCCCCCAAAATTGTATATTTACACTAAGCTAACATCAAGCACAGCTTTGATCCATTTCTTAAGATTACTTATTGTTTTCTAATTAACAGGATTTCATTATAAGTTTATTTAACTGTGTGTGTATTGCTAGTTTTGAGATAACAGAGTTAAACTTGGAAATAGACTGTTCGTAGTGATTTGCTAAAGTTGCCAATGTTAGCAATAACACTGTGTCTTACCTGGGTGAGAATAGCCAGAATAATAGAGGATAGAAGGTATATAATTTACTTGTTTGGACTTTTGTAGATTTCTTGAAGGAAAGATGCAAGGTGGTAAAGAAAGTCCCCAAAGGAACATCCAGTTACCAAGCTGAATGGATTTTGGATGAGGATAGTGAAAGTGGTGGGGACGATGAATATGATGATATAGAGCATGAAGATTTTATGGAGGAGGATTCTCAGGTAAGGAATGGGGCTACTTCTATATACAGTTCTGCATGCAAGAAGTTTCATTGTCATACTGACCTTGATGGATGTGTATGATCAGTTTCTTAGGACATTTTAGTTGCCAGGAATGAAAATTGTTCTATATCTCAGTCTCTATTAGAATTGATATTGGTTCGGATTAGGTATCTAGTAAAATTACTTTATTTTTTAGTGTAGAGCTGTGTATGGGTTTTTTTCCCCCCAAACTGTAATCCTTACTCTACAGGAGGAAAATAGTGAAGAAGAGGAGGAGGAGGAGGAATGTGAAACTGTAACTATAGGAGAGTCTGTGCGTGATGATCTGTATGATGAGAAAATGGATGAGGAGGCTGAAGAAAAAATGTTGGAGAAATATAAACAAGAAAGACTAGAAGAGATGTTTCCAGATGAAATAGATACCCCCCGCGATGTGGCTGCTAGAATTCGGTTAGTCAGCAAATCTAAAATCAGTGTGTTTTTATTTAAAACTTAAGAGCTCAGGGGCCTCTGGTGACGTAAGGGTTAAGTCTCAGTGCTATCACACTGTCACCACTGCCCGAGTCAGATACCTGGCCAGGGAGCTGACCCACATATGGCGCAGATCTCCCTGGCCTTTGCCTGTTCTGCTCCTCTCTCTATCTTTGGTGACTTCTTCCCCCACACCTCTGGCCTACACCCCAATTCTATGCATAAATAGATAAACCTTTAAAAATATATAAAACTTAAGAGCTCTGAACTATGTCAGTTGGTGTAAAAGAAGAATACTTGGTTTTTGTTCCTGAAGGGGCTAACATTCTACATGGGAGATAGGACATAACATGCAGGAAACCGTATGTAGAATCAAGTTCTAGACAGTACAGAGTAGTTTCGCAATACATTGATGATAAGGAAATTTTAGCAAATTTTTCTTATAAGGGCTGACATTCAGTTGAAGTATACAATGTTTAAAATTTGTTGGGAGTAGAATAGCAAGAATAACAGCGTGAAGATGTAGATGAGCATGTCTGCTCCAGAGGTGAGCTTGTTAAAGTTAGTTTATATTGAATATTAGAGAGGTAAGGCATTTATCAAGGACCTTGTTTGTTAGATGAAAAAGCCACTCCCTGATAGGCACCAGAGATGACTGTAAATACTCTGTCCTTTGTCAGTGAGAATCTAGGGTTTGTTTCTGAAATACTTGTTATTACAAGTTATTTTAGATTATGACCTTAACTTATGTTATTTTGAGAAACCATGATGAAGTTTTTGAGCTACAGCCTTAACATTTTAGAAGTGATTTGAATGAAGAAGTCATGTCACACAGATTTGACTATTAATGTTTTTAAAATCTCCTGTATTCTAGATTTCAGAAATACAGAGGTCTCAAGAGCTTCCGGACATCCCCGTGGGATCCTAAGGAGAACCTTCCTCGAGATTATGCTCGGATATTTCAATTTCAGAACTTCACTAATACTAGGAAACGCATCTTTAAAGAGATTGAGGAAAAAGAAGCTGAAGGGGCCGAGGTATTAGTCTTTCTTTGTTTTATAATTTGCTTTGTTTTGTGCTGTTCATAGCTGAATTAGAGGTGTTACAGAGTTGTTGACAAATGATAGAACAAACAACTATCAGATATTAACTGGAAAGGTTTAATATGGGTAGTTGAGGCATCTGTGAAAGGTAATTTGGAACAAGGGTGGACTTTAGGGTAGTTTGAGAGGCCTTTAAAATATTTGGAGAAATCCATCATTATTGAGACCTCACGCTTAACTGCGTGGCTTTGTTTTCTTCCGGCAGGTTGGCTGGTATGTCACACTTCATGTCTCTGCGGTTCCCGTCTCAGTGCTTCAGCACTTCAAGCAAGGCACACCTCTGATTGCATTTTCTTTACTGCCTCATGAACAGAAGGTGGGCGAGTATCTTGGAAGAAATGGGGGATTATGAGACTTTCTGAACTGTTTTGTCTGCCATTCTAAAATTTTATTTGTATGACTCATATCTTGCTCATTTAGATGCAAAGAAAAATTTCTTTTAGGGATAGGAATTGGAGAAGTCAATGATGGTTTTTCCCAACATGTCTGAACCTGTCTGAAGCATCTCAGTGATGCAGTCTCTGTGTGGTTCTGAGACTTCTCTGAGATAAGTTTGCTAGATCAGATTTTAACAAGGGCTGGCAGCCTTTAAAAAAAAAAAGGTGGTTTATAACAAGAGAGAGGTTAGTAGAAGATGAGAGCTCTGGCCTTTGATCAGTGTAAGGGTAGAGGAAGAAAGGGTTTGGAGGAATATACTTTTGAGCAGTGTGATGAGCAAATGATTTTAGGGCTACTAATTTTGTGGCAGATGTCGAGTTCTTATATGTTAGTCACAAATAAGTCATCAACACTCAGAAAACCAGCCTACATAACTCAAAAACCAGTTGCTGATGGAGGTTAAAGATGAATCTCTATCTTATCTATACTCTTCCACCATAAATTAGCATTGCCAGTTCTTAAAAGTGAAACTGAATCTGCTAGTTTTGTTTGCCTTCTTTCAAGTTAGACTGTTCATTTCATAGACAGTGGAGTTTATTTCCTACTTGCTTTCCAGATGTCAGTACTAAATATGGTGGTGAGCCGGCACCCTGGCAACACTGAACCCGTGAAAGCCAAAGAGGAGCTGATCTTCCACTGCGGGTTCAGGCGCTTCCGAGCCTCACCTTTATTCTCCCAGCACACTGCAGGTAATTGTTATGCTGAGGGGCTATGACTTTGAAGTAGGGGGCTTTGGTACAGAATGTAAAAGGCCTAGAGATTATTTTCAGTACTCTGGTTAGGAGCCAATGATGTTTTCATTCAAAATGTCTGAACCTGTCTGAAGCATCCCAGTGATGCAACCTGTGTGGTACTGAGGCTTCTTAACCATAAGTATTTGTTCCAGTGCAGGTTTTGAATAGAATTGGCAGCTTTATAAAATTTATGTGTTAATATGTGGAATCTTTGATAGCTGATATTCCATTAGCAGTGTTGGTAAAGGCAGGGGGTGGGCCACAGTTGGGTCCCCATATTTTGGCTTCTGAGATTTTGAGACTGGGTGAGAGTTAAGAGAGTAGTAACCAGGGACACTGTTGTGGCAAAAATGATTGTATCTCCTACATGTAGCGATGGGAAGGTGTGTTGTCCAGTGATGATGAGAGAGAATTGGGAAAAAAACAGTATTAATGGATGTAATTTTTCACCCATATGGGGATTAATTTTTCACCCATATGGGGATTAATAGCTCTTTCTTTAAAGTATTTTATTTCCCTATATCTTCAGTCTTTAAAAAGGGGGAGGGTGGGCCCTCCCTGGTGGGGCAGCGAGTAAGGACGCTGTACTGCAAGCTAGCTGCAGCTGCTTCAGTGCGAGTTCAAACCCGCTCCGGAGGTGACCCACATGGCGTGGCAGACCTCTCCTGACCCGCCTGCTGCTCCCCTCAGCAGTGTACTTCGTCGATCTGCCTGTTCTGCTCCCCACTCTACCTCTGGTGAATCTTCTCACCACCCCTGTACCTCTAGCTTGTACCCCATTTCTGTATGCATAAATAAATAAAATATATATATATATATATTTTTTTTTTTTTCAGTAAAATGCAAATATTCATTGGTGGGGGGAGGGTTTCATTGAAGATAAAAACAGAAGCTTGCCATAGTCTCAAGACATTTGTCCTGCCAGTTTTTGTTGGAACACAATCATGCTTCCTTTTTTTTCCAAATGTATTATCCTTGGCTGTTCTATGCTACAGTATCAGAATTGAATAGTTGCAACAGAGACATATGGCCATAAGATCTGAAATACTTACTATTTGGCCCTTTATAGAAAGTGACTGTCAATTATTGCCAAGACTAAGAGTTATTGATTTAGTGGAGATATTCTCTATTAAAGCAATGATTCTCAAGTGAGTGTCAGAATCACCTGGGGAACTTTTTCAAACCTCAGCTGTATAGTCCAAGCTCTGAGATTCTGATTCTAGTTGACAAGTCACTGGTAGGATTAGATTGTATCTTTTGGTTGTATTGAGACAAGAAAATATTTTGAGAGATAGTAAGCTAAAGAAACACAAGGTACCTTAGCTTTAAGAGTTGCAGTGATACAGCTTTTCATAGGCCTATTGTTTATCCATGGTTTTTCAAAACATTTTTGGTTTTTATTTTGTAACTCTATTATGGCAGCGGACAAACATAAATTCCAGCGATTCCTGACAGCTGATATGGCCCTGGTCTTGACAGTATATGCCCCAATCACTTTTCCTCCTGCATCTGTGCTGCTTTTCAAACAGAACAACAATGGTAAGTTGAGTTGACACAAGTGAACTGGTTTGCATGTCCTTTAATAAATAGGTTTGACACTGTTTTCTGCATTTAGATTTGGGTGCCACATGTATGAAGAAGGTAATGATGGTTTTCAAAATATCCCAGTCTCAACTCTACAGGGGTTCTAAGGCTAGAATGACAGATGAATTTTTCCCTGCTTGCAAACCATGGCTAATTAGTGGGGCTTAGAGGGCTGTATTTAGGATAGGTTCTGGGTAGGTTCAGCAGAAATAACATTTAGTGATATTAGCCATTGACCCAGGCGGGCATTCTTACTTTTAAGATTTTCTCAGAAGCTCTGTCTAGGGCTTTAAATGGACTAGAGCAACAGGTGGAGGCTTTGGCCTATAGATTCCTGAAGAGCTTTTCTGCTTTTGCCCCTTAGGAATACACAGCCTCATTGCTACAGGTCATCTATTGTCAGTGGATCCCGACAGACTGGTCATCAAGAGAGTTGTTCTGAGTGGTCATCCCTTCAAAATTTTTACTAAGACGGCAGTAGTACGTTACATGTTCTTTAGTAGAGGTAGGTGTGAATAATGGGATTGGATTGCCTTTGTGGGGTACAAGTTTGGTTTATATTTGCGGGTGGATGTTTCATTTTGGTCTTCTATGTGTTTCATTCTCAGAGGATGTGCTGTGGTTTAAGCCAGTGGAACTAAGAACAAAGTGGGGCCGAAGGGGGCACATCAAAGAGCCTTTAGGTAAGAGAGCGGAGATCTGGGATCTTGTCTAGATTTCCCCATTAAATGACTGTTGGGTTAGAAAACCACTGCTTTAAACGTTCCTGTCTTAATGTAACCAACTTCATCTATTTTCTTTCTAGGTACTCATGGCCACATGAAGTGCAGTTTTGACGGGAAGCTAAAATCTCAGGATACAGTATTGATGAACCTCTATAAGCGAGTTTTCCCCAAATGGACTTATGATCCATATGTACCAGAACCAGTACCTTGGGTGAAAAGCGAGGTTTCTTCAGCAGTACCTGAAGTGGATATGGAGTAATGGATTCTATGGACTTCTGTCTCATTGCTACGACCTGGCATGCTAGGAATAGGAGCCTGCAGGTTGCGATTGGGCAAACTCTGTTTTCTACTTTAACCTGAAGGTCTGCTGCCCCTTTCTGCAAAAGGCTTCTTGACCATGACAGGGTAGTTCAGTAGAGTATGTATATTTTTCTATTGCTACTTATTCCAAAAAATGTATTAAATCCAAAAAATGAAATATCCACTCTCTGTAAGAATTTTGAAAGCTGTTGAAAAGGGAAAGATGAGAAAGTAGCCAGAAAACAAAATTTCCAAGTGTCTAGAGCCCTGAACCCCATCTCTTCCTTTTGAATACATCACATAGTAAGTGATTGGTAAGGAGCTGGCTTTTCAGCCTGCTTCACCCAGGTTAGGGAAGTCAAGTCTACATTTCCACCACTGAGCACAATGCAAATGTTCTTTACTTCTGGTGAAACGGTTTGAAAATGCTGAGACAGCACAGCAGCCACTCCAACACCAGCTGTCGGTTCAATGAGCAGTTTCATCCTCTCCCACACTAGCTGGGTTGCATGCTGTTGGTACAGAGGGAGCAAGAATTAGTGAAATGAGAGCAAAGAAAGCACCTAGTTAGTTGGCCTTTAAAGTTTAATACCAGGTGAAGATAGATGCCCAGTGTAGATTTTCTTACTGTTACATGCATGTGCTTGCCAGTGTAGAGTGGGGCTTTTTCCCCTCTAGTTTAACTCTGCTTCTGCTTTCAAAAGAGGGTGTCTTAATACACACAGGGCACTGTCCCACCTGCCCTGCCAGTCACAAACACAGGTCCCCAGTGGGTCACTTGCTAAGAAGTTTCTCCATTCTGTTACTTCCTTTCCCTTTGGAATCTCACCTTAATTTCATCCTCTGTGACAGTGAAGACATCATCCACAAGGTCCCTTATAATAGGCCAGGTATTTAAACCAACACTAGACTTGACACCATCTGCTACGGTTTCTGGAGGATGCATGTTAGGAATCAGTTCCCCTTTCAGTTTGGACTGGTAGCAGTCATCAGCATTTAAGGGCTCAGCAGCATATATCTTCACACTAGGTTTCAGAGCCTGGGAAGACGAATATTAAAAATAGCTCACAGCTAGCCATAGCATTTGCCTGCATGCCTGCAGTCAAATACACAGTAAATGTAACATTATCCAAATATAATCCTTTGCTTTGATAAATGTGATAAAAATATGACCTTTAAATTTAAGCACTTTAAATTGTATTCCCATACAACAACTAGTTGCCTAGTTGTTCTATCGGAAACTTGGGAAAGCAGTAGTCCCTGGCTTGGCAGATAGATTGGTAAGATGGAATTCAGGAAAAGAACTGAGGATGTCGCCGAAAACTTTACTATCAAGTTGAGGGGCAAGAGTAGTAAGACAGGGGCCCTCCCTGTGGTGCAAGGGTTTATTTAAAGCACAGCACTAAAGATATCTGTAGCCACTGCAGCACTGAGTTCAATCCCTGGCCAAAAAGGTGACCCATGTGGTGTGGCAGACTTCTGACCCACCTGCTGCTCCCCTCAGCAGTGTATTTAAGTAGACCTGCCTGTTCTGCCCCCCACTCTGTCTCTGGTGAACCCTCTCATTCCTCGACTCCACACCTCTGACCTGTACCCCAGTTTTTGTATGCATAAATAAATAAATCTTCCCCCAAAAGGAGTAGTGAGACAGAAGGATCTTCATCTGAAGGGCAAGGGATGAGAAAGGGAAGCTGAACAAGTATCCCCAGTGTACATTGTCAAATAAAATGCTCTACTCATGGGACGGAAAGTCTTCCATAACCTGTTCTCTTACCTTTATTGTAATAGCAATTCCAGCAACCATTCCTCCTCCTCCCACAGGTACCACCAGTGCATCTACCAAAGGAACCTTTAATGAAAAGAATATAAAATGTAAACTTCATAAGCAGTTTTATGTATACATGTAATCAATTGTACAGTCAAACAAAAGCTGTACCAGTAGCTAAACAAGAACCATGTGTTTACCTGGTTCAGCACTTCAACTGCAATTGTCCCTTGTCCAGCTATCACTGCAGGCTCTTGGTTTGGATGTACCATGATGCCTTCTGTTTCTTCCATAATTCTTTTTGTAACATTCTCTCTGGACTGGAAGAGCACATTAGTTTACTTGGTTCCTGTTTACTAGCGTTAACAACCAGTTGGGTTTGGTCATTTGACATTGTATTGACCATCTGCTTTTTTTAAAGGCTTTGTTGGGGTATTGGGCATATAAGAATGAACAAAACAGTCCCTGTGCTCATTTTAAGTTTCATTCTAATGTTGATGGGGCAGTTATAAGTAAACATGTGGTATGTGTAAGTGCTATGGAGGGAGGTGAATTTTACGTAGTTATGCAGGAAGGGCCTCTGGTGAAGTAACATTTTAATAAATTTGAATTAAGTCCTGTGGATCTGTATATTCCTGGAAGCAAATAAAAGTAGGAAGTGCTTGGCCTTTCTAAGAACTAAGTGTAGTTTGCTTGGAGTGTTTGGGAAAGAATAACAGTGGAAGATGAAATCAGTGGTAGGAATGAGCCAGGCCAGTTCATCTCAACCTTAGATGATAACAAGTGACTTTTACTGTATATGAAATGGGTAACCATTGGAGGATTTTGAACTGACAAAAGACAAATTCTAATTACTACATGGATAACTGGTTGTTCTGAAAATGAGCAAGGGTGATAACAGACCAGATAGGCCACTGAATCTAGGGGAGAGCTATTTGAGTCTAATGGTAGATTATGGAAGTTTTGGGAGAAGTAGAACTAAACTGTGGATATAGGATATGAGCTAATAGGAATCAAAGGTCATCCCCAACACTGAACACTTAGGAAAAATTGCCATTTACTAAGATGGGGAAGACTGGATAAGGAGCAGTACAAGGAATAAGATCAGGAGTTTGGTTTTAGAAAGTAAGCTTGAGATGCTTACTGAGCTACCTAAGTGGGATCGCTTGTATATTTGATACCCATGTTGGGGTTAAAGTCCAAGGTCAAAGGTAGAATGTAGGTGATACAACAAAAAGGCTAAGGAGATCATCTGAGTGTAGATAAAGGTTGGGTATGCCAGTATTTCAAGAAGAGAAAACGAAGGGAGACAAGTGGCCAATGAGGAAGAAAAGTTTAATTTGATAACGAAAGCAACAGTGAAGTTGCTTTCTTACCTCATCACTCTGTTCACTGTATACTATAGAGGCTCCATAGGCTTGTATTGCCAGTTTTTTACAGTTGGGAGCTGTTTGGGGCACCACAATATAAGCAGGAATTCCTGGGAGGGAGAAACATTTAAAGCAAGAACAATTTAGGATAGAAACTTATGCTCAAAGACAAAAGAGATGGGAAGACACTCCATGTTTAGGAACTGGATGAGTCAATATAGGCAAAATAACTTCAAAGATTGAGATTATTAAAAGGTTAATATTGATATATGGTGCCATAAAAGGTCTCAAGTAGCTAAAGCAATCCTGAGAAAAGAGAACAATGGATATATCATGTCATCTGATTTTAAATTGCATTTAAAAGCAATGGTATTTAAAACTATGGATTTGGAATAAAAAAGGCACATGGATGAAAAGAACAAAATTGGAAGCATAGAAATTGTGCATATATCAGTAATTTATGATAAAGGAGAATAACATGGTTCTGGGAAAACAAGATGGCCACACATAAGAATGAAGTTATATCACTTTTAACTCTGTGTACAAAAATAAATTCAAAATTAAAGGCATATATATAAAACCTGCAACAATAAAACAGAAGAAAACATTAGCAATGGTTCATGGCATCAATGGTAAAGATGTCTAGAAGCTCCACTCCTAAAGCAAGGGAGATAAAAGCAAAATTAAACAATTGGGATTATCTCAGATTAAAAATCATATGGTGAAAGAAAATAAAAGATTAAAAAGACAGTTTGCTGAATGAGAGAAAATATTCACACATTACACATCCATCAATAGGTTAATACCAAAGATCTTAAAGAAAAGGCAGTAATAAACTCTAGTAAATGGGTAGTGGATCTGAATAGACAGTTCACTAAAGAGGTTGCCCAGAGACAGAATTATGGAAACGTTTTATCATCTCTTTTAATAAGGGAAATGCAGGTAGAAACCTGTAGGTGGGACATATTTAACAAGACCCTCAATAATAAGTGCTGGAGAAGATGTGGAGACAGGAGCCCTAATAAATTGTTGGTGAGAATGCAAACTGGTGCAGCCATTTTGGAAAGTAATTTGGACTGATTTTACAAAACAAACTGGAAATAGCATATGGCCTAGCAATCTCATTTCGGAAATCTAGAGAACATGAAACTATCAACTCAAAAAATTATATGTTCTAAATGTTTATTACAGCATGACCATAGCTAGGACATAGAAACTTTAGTTTCTACTGATAGAGGAGTGAATTAAGATTTGTATATTCACACAGTGAAATATTGTTCAGTCATAAGGAAAGATGCAGTGTTAACAACAGATAGCAAAACAAAGAGTTTGAGGGAATCACGTCTAATAAATCAGAATGACAGAAAAATATTGGATATTTACATAGACAAATCAACAACGAAAAAATACTTGGGGGGATCAAACTGTTGGAAACTAAGAGAAAGTGAGGTGTCTGAGGTTAAGAATGAAGGGGAGGGTAAAAATGACAGGAATGGTGGTGGGGAACAAATTCCGTGAAAAATATGTTTTTTAAAAACCTGTTTAGTTTGCTTGTAATCAAAAGCTACACCAGTCTGAAAGAAAGGATACTTTTCCTGGGCTCTCGCTGGTGGCTCAACAGTTAAAGTACAGCACTGTAAAGCTACCCCAGCCACTGTGCCATGAATTTGATCCCTGGCCAGGGAGGTGACCCATATGGCATGGCAGACCTCTCCCAACCCACCCACTATTCTCTTCAGCAGTGTACTTCATCAATCTGCCTATTCTGCTCCCCACTCTGTCTCTGGTATATTTTCTCACCACCACCCCCACACCTCTGGCCTGTACCCCAGTTCTATATG